GGTAGTCACTGTATATAACAGGTAGTCACTGTATATAACAAGTAGTCACTGCATATAACATGTAGTCACTGTATATAACAGGTAGTCACTGTATATAACAGGAAGTCACTGTATATAACAGGTAGTCACTGTATATAACTAGTAGCCACTGTATATAACATATAGCCATTGTATATAACATGTAGTCACTGTATATAACATATAGCCATTGTATATAACATGTAGTCACTGTATATAACAAGTAGTCACTGTATATAACCGGTAGTCACTGTATATAACTTTTAGTCACTGTATATAACATATAGCCATTGTATATTACACGTAGTCACTATATATTACAGGTAGTCACTGTACATAACAGGTAGTCACTGTATATAAAAGGTAGTCACTGTATATAACAGGTAGTCACTGTATATAACAGGCAGTCACTATATAACAGGTAGTCACTGTATATAACAAGTAGTCACTGCATATAACATGTTATCACTGTATATAACAGGTAGTCACTGTATATAACAGGTAATCACTGTATATAACAGGTAATCACTGTATATAACAGGTATTCACTGTATATCAGGTAGTCACTGTTAATAACAGTTAGTCACTGTATATAACTAGTAATCACTGTATATAACGACTAGACCGTGTTTAACTGGTAGTAACTGTATATTATAGACAATAACTGTATATCACAGATAGTCACTGTATAAATAGTTACGAATCCTTGATGTCTGCCAACGCGTTATAACCTATACACGGCTGTGCCAGTTGTAAAGAACTACAATAAATGTGTAATCTTATATGTGGTCATTTCTATTACTTTATTGTTTGCAGTTCATTGATAATAGTTGGAGCACGCGATAGAGGCATATGAATAGGGCTGTTAAGGTGGCTCCACACTTTCGCAAGTAACCAGCAAAATTCGTTGAAACTTTCATATAAGGTTATGCAACTATGCAGAGTTGATTTTATGAAAATTTAAACATTCCGATAGTTTGAGGACTGTTTTGGAAAAAATACCAAAAAATAGAATTTTCGTCAATTTTGATATTTTCCGGTTTATTTTGTGTGTGGCATTGTTCGGAACAATAACAACAATAATAAAATGAAAAGAAGCATTTCTAATTAACCCTACAGATATTTTATTTGTCACAAAATGTGTAACACATGTTACACAAAGTGTTTTTTATTGAATTTGTACGGATAAAAGTGATTTTCTACAAGCTAAAAGTAAACAGAACACAAAGTTATATACATATAAAATGGGAAATTGAACAAAATATACACAATGGCTTTATAATTAATTTATTTTACATTTTACAATCACTTTAATCCGGGTGAGAGTTATCTTCCTTGAAAAAAATCGGAACTTTTTGCAGAGGGGTGACATTTACACAATGACAGTTGTCTCTGTTTACATATAACAAAAATTATGGAAATAAATCAAAAATCTGTTATCAAAATTATCAATCTATTGTTCTTTAATGGAACCAAATTACCCTCAGCTATGTACACTTTAGACATTATTCCACAGTCCGCTAACTCACGGTATGTATATAATTACATGTCAGGTACATATATGACCAGAGGCTATCGCTTGGTATGCCGTTCTCACGTGCACTCACATATGCATTTCATAGGTATCTTGATATTTTACAAAACATTATTTTCACAGAATAAGTAGACTACATTTGTAAACACGATTTAATCGACTGAGCGAAAATCCCTCAACAGCAAAAATACTAACGACCTCGAGCTTATGAACTCGTGTAAGCACGTGATATGCACATGTGAGGTCGGTATGTCCGCATTCCATGCGTTTCCTATATGTCCCATGAGTCTGTTTATGTCTATGAATTGGAAAGCTTTATTCCTGAAGTACGTGTGATTATACATTTTCCGGTAAAATCTCGATATCGGGTGTTGACATATCATCGGCACGCACGTGTATTATTGTTTACCAGCTCAGGGGCCTGTTCGTTTATGCGAAACAACCGGTTTGACCGTTTATAAATGTAACAATTTCGGGTATGAATCCTGGCGGACCTGCAAATGTGTATGCAGGCCTTGCAAGGCTTTCTCAAGACTCGCCTGAAAGCAGCATCAGATTACTAGGTCCGACCTTATTTAATAAACGAACAACAGTGGTCCGATCGGTTTGACCGTTTAAACGAAAACGGCCCAGGTGTTACTATAATTTGCACTACGATATTGAATGCCCGATACGCAATACGGAAATGACGACACGGTGTACATGCACATTTCGATCAAGATAATTGAGTCCGAGCTGTACTTTTTCCGGAAGTACGTCACGAAAATGGACGCTGATGACGATGTGTGGAGCCACCTTAAAATCATAGACCGTGTATTATACAAAGGCTATACCGCGTCAGTAACGTAAATGTCTACCAATGCGGAAGTAGTTACCGCGCCAGTACGTGTCGGGTATATTACAGTGTACCTGAATGTAGTATACTGAGTATGCTTAGTAATATGTATTTAGTCTTGTGTTCCGAAAAAGGAGATATCGAAAGTGAAAATTGATTCGAAGAAGGAGTTAACTATCAGGTCTGTTTAGTGACCTTGGTGCCTAGTGCGATGGCGACAGCCGTGAAGAAACCATGTAAGTAGGACTGAAACATTCTAGTCGTTTACATGTACCACACGTTACACAAGTAACCATGTAAGTATGACTGAACATTCCTGGCCGTTTACATGTACCACACGTTACACAAGTAACCATGTAAGTATGATTAAAACATTCTTAGCCGTTTACATGTACCACACGTTATACAAGTAACCGTGTAAGTATGACTGAAACATTCTTAGCCATTTACATGTACCACACGTTACACAAGTAACCGTGTAAGTATGACTAAACATTCCTGGCCGTTAACATGTACCACACGTTACACAAGTAACCATGTAAGTATGACTGAAACATTCTTAGCCATTTACATGTACCACACGTTACACAAGTAACCAATACAGCTGTAGACTATATACCCGGATAGGGTGGTACGCATTCAGTTACAGGTGTGTGACAATAATTATAACAATGTGTTTAACTCGATGAATTGGCGATCAGGGCGTAGGGTACATACATGCCAGACAGTATATAAATGGTATAGTCGGCCTTCGGTCCTATCACTCATTAATGTGGCTAACATTCGTGGACACACGTATGAGGTTGTACGTTCATGTACATAGTATGATGTTGTACGTTCATGTACATACGTATGATGTTGTACGTTCGTGTACAAACGTATGATGTTGTACGTTCATGTACCTACGTATGATGTTGTACGTTCGTGTACATAGTATGATGTTGTACGTTCGTGTACATACGTATGACGTTGTACAATCGGGTACACACGTATGATATTGTACGTTCGTGTACATACGTATGATGTTGTACGTTTGTGTACATACGTATGATGTTGTACGTTCATGTACATACGTATTATGTTGTACGTTCGTGTACACACGTATGATGTTGTACGTTCGTGTACATACGTATGAAATTGTACGTTCGTGTACATACGTTTGATGTGGTGCGTTTGTTTACATACGTATGATGTTGTACGTTCGTGTACACTCGTATGATGTTGTACGTTCGTGTACATACGTATGATGTTGTACGTTAGTGTACATACGTTTGATGTTGTACGATCGGGAACATACATATGATGTTGTACGTTCGTGTACATACGTATGAAATTGTACGTTCGTGTACATACGTTTGATGTGGTGCGTTTGTTTACATACGTATGATGTTGTACGTTCGTGTACACTCGTATGATGTTGTACGTTCGTGTACATACGTATGTTATTGTACGTTCATGTACATACGTATGATATTCTACGTTCGTGTACATACGTATGATGTTGTACGTTGGTGTACATACGTATGACGTTGTACGTTCGTGTACATACGTATGATGTTGTACGTTAGTGTACATACGGTTGATGTTGTACGATCGTGAACATACATATGATGTTGGACGTTCGTGTACATACGTATGATGTTGTACGTTTGTGTACATACGTATGATGTTGTACGTTCGTGTAGATACGTATAACGTTGTACGATCGTGTACACACGTATGAATTTGTACGTTCCTGTACATACATATGATATTGTACGTTCGTGTAGATACGTATGACGTTGTACGTTCGTGTACATACGTATGATGTTGTACGTTGGTGTACATACGTATGACGTTGTACGTTCGTGTACATACGTATGATATTGTCCGTTCGTGTACATACGTTTGATGTGGTGCGTTTGTTTACATACGTATGATGTTGTACGTTCGTGTACACTCGTATGATGTTGTACGTTCGTGTACATACGTATGAAATTGTACGTTCGTGTACATACGTTTGATGTGGTGCGTTTGTTTACATACGTATGATGTTGTACGTTCGTGTACATACGTATGATGTTGTACGTTAGTGTACATACGTTTGATGTTGTACGATCGTGAACATACATATGATGTTGTACGTTCGTGTACATACGTATGATGTTGTACGTTCGTGTACATACGTATGATATTGTACGTTCGTGTACATACGTTTGATGTGGTGCGTTTGTGTACATACGTTTGATGTTGTACATTCGTGTACATGCGTATGATGTTGTACGTTCGTGTACATACGTTTGATGTTGTACGTTCGTGAACACATGGACATATACGAGTTACTCACGCTAAAATGTTTATATATAAGACATAAATTGACCCGTGAACATACGGAAACGATTGTTCACATTGCCACTCTATGCTGTCAACTAATACAGTATTGGGTACATTTAGAGTTCGACCTCGTTATCGGAATAAACACGCCAGTACAGCTTGACTCATACATAGGCAAAAAGATAGCAGCCAGTCCTCAACAATAAAGTCTACAAAATTGTCATTATTTTCTAATCATTAACACATTTCCCCTTTGTTTTATTATAATGATATGATATATAATACACCTGGTAATTGTTCTCGCTATTAGTGAAAGTATGTCAGTAAAATGTTAAAGCGCAACCTAGATAAAAATGACCTTTAGCTACTTTTAACAGGATTCGAACATGTCAAAAAACTAAAAACTACTTATTCTGAAAAACAGAAAAAGATGTAGTCATGGTATTAGGATTGTTGTCATGGTGTTAGGGTTATAGTCAATGTATTAGGGCTAAAGTCATGGTATTAGGGTTGTAGTCATGGTGTTAGGGCTAAAGTCATGGTATTAGGGCTGTAGTCATGGTATTTGGGTTGTAGTCATGGTGTTAGGGCTGTAGTCATCGTATTTGGGTTAAGTCATGGTATTATGGTTGTAGTCATGGTATTAGGGTTGTAGTAATGGTATTTAGGCTGAAGTCATGGCATAAGGGTTGTAGTCATGGTATTAGAATTGAAATCATGGCATTATGGTTGTAGTCATGGTATTAGGGCTGAAGTCATGGTATTAGGGTTGTAGTCATGGCATTAGGGTTGTGGTTATGGTATTAGGGCTGAGGTCATGGTATTAGCGTTGAAGTCATGGTATTAGGGCTGAAGTCATGGCATAAGGGTTGTAGTCATGGTATTAGAATTGAAGTCATGGCATTAGGGCTGAAGTCATCGTGTTAGGGTTGTAGTCATTGAATTAGGGCTGTAGTCATGGTATTAGGGCTGTAGTCATGGTATTAGGGCTGTAGTCATTGTATTAGGGCTGGAGTCATGGTATTAGGGCTGTAGTCATGGTATTAGGGCTGTAGTCATGGTATTAGGGCTGTAGTCATGATATTAGGGCTGTTGTCATGGTATTAGGGTTGTATTTGTGTTAGGGTTGTGGTCATGGTATTATTGTTGTAGTAACTTGGGATGGAACTTAAATCAGTTATTAAGTGTAAACACCTTGACGTTTATTCAGGGTCGCAGTTGTTAGAGAAATGTAAAACTTCAAACAACTTCTTAAGAACTAAAAGTTCCTTTGTCTTTTGATATTGTACTGGTACCTTCCTAGAACGGGGCCCGAGAAAGATTTCAAATAAAAAGACCTTGTAATACACTAAAGGTCACATGGATCAAATAAAGTTAAAACTTAAAAAACAATCTTTCCATCGGAAAGAAAGGCTATGGGTCACAACTTTAGACTGTCTCTTTCTATGGATATAGGCAAACAACGTTTATGAAAAAATATGAACTTGACCTTTTGTCAATGTCACAGAGATTAAATATGTCAAGAAACTAAAAACGACACTTTCAATAGAACAAAATGGCCTGGACTCATGATATTTTGATAGTAGCTTACATGGATGATGAGTTATTATTTATGTAAAAGGTCTTGGGTTTTTTCTCTCAAAAACTTAAAACAACTGTTCAGAACTGAAACGCCTAGATTATTGATCAGGTTCGTAACTTTCTCTATATATGATAATAATAATAATAATAATAATAATATACAACATTTATATAGCGTCCTATATAATTTGTAAAATTACTCAAAAGCGCTTTACAACATATGGATAACAGTATTAGTTATAATTGTGAAACAAAAGCAAAGGCTTACAATCACTTTTATACATTTAAGCAAGCAATGTTCACATACACACACACCATGTTATTGAACAAATAAAGGGTGGTATTTACATGACGTCTTTGCAGAGATCCTAAAATGCAGATGTGAAGAGGTAAGTTTTGATGTCCCTCTTGAATTTGTCCAGGATATTTGATTTTCTAATAGCAGATGGTAAGCTATTCTACAACGTGGCCGAAACCCTCCTAAAGCAACGGTTTCCATAGGTCACAGTACGAGATTTTGAGACACACAACAATAATTCTGATTCAGACCGTAGTGATCGTGACGGCTGCTACAGGGTAACAAGCTATTCAGTGCCTTGTTTGTGTACACCAACATTTTGTACTGCGACCAGTATCGTACAGGTCATCAGTGCAATGAATATAGCACAGGTGTGATGTGCTCTCTCTTTCGAGTACGAGTAACCAGCTGTGCTGCAGTGTTCTGGACCCTCTGTCATAGTGTAAACGATTTCTGAACCAAGAAGCCGACTCAGCTGTCTCTATATATGGTCATAGGGTAAAATAAATTAAAAAACAACCTTTAAACCACTTCTGAACCAAGAAGCCGAGGGTGATGATATCTTGTCAAACACAGGCTCAGATAAGGTCTATCAAGTCTGAGTGTTTCACAATTCCCTGAATTCAACGTCTTAATGATAAAAGATGTCGAAAACTACCAAATAAAGGCTAAAGTGGTTATGTTTGACAAGAAAAACGCTAAAAAGACTTTCGGATTTTTAGAAGGAGTGACCTTCATAAATGTTCAATGTCACATTGGTCAAATGTTTGAAAAGTGTGTAACAGTTTTTTTTCCCATAGGTAATGATATTGAGCTTTATTCTGTCTATTTCAATGTATTTGAACATTTATCACTTTCTAATTTTAAGGCGATAAAAAATGGGGAATGCGGTTACTTCAAAACAGAATTATTTGAAGGTGTAAAAAGAACAGACAAGATTTTAATCTTGTTTATTCAACACGAGACAAGAATCGATACAGTATATAGAAAATAAACTCACTAATGGGGAGAGATCATATTGACAAATCATTGTCCATTTGTAACAAAAGCAGTAGCTATGTAAAACATAAAACGGCCTGGAGAATATGGAATTATCATAAAAAATTATAAAACTACTGGAGGTTAATTGGAGAAGAGATAATATAACTTATATTACAGATTATAATACAGTTTCACAAACACAGGGATCAAATTTGTTGAAATCTTTAAACGACTTCTTCCGATAAACGAAAGGTAAAGGGTGATGATATTATACAAGAAATATGTTGGGAAGAAGGGCTACAAAGTCTTTCTAAAAGACTTTTCTCATTTTGGGGTAGACCTAGCACGGAGCGTGGAGACAGAGACCTAGACAGGCAAATACAGGGGTCATTTCAAAAATAATTTTATATGGAACGTAGTGTATAGGGTATGTCAGAGTGTATACACACACATGTAAAGTGACTACAGGTAAGCGAACAGGTAACATTAAATGGAGACACAGGTAAGAAATTATGTAACCGGTAACCACAGTCGTTATAGTCTTTTTCGTGGCTCAAGGCGGCAGGTTTGTGACCGTGGTATATTGATATTTCAATATCTCCGTTAAAGATCTCACCCAGGATGTCTATTGTATTTTTCTGACGCCGATTGAGTTAACAGAACTTTCCCGAGCCAAAATAATCAGTTGGAAGAAGTTTGTATTTTACAAGAGCGACAGGGATCTCATATTCATTTGTAGATTAAATGTGTCATCCAAAAACCTCTTGGGACACGATATTTCCATATTTCGAAAGAAAGGTTTAACGCTTACACGGTGTCTTTTTATAATAGCGTAAAGCTGAAGGTACTTGTTCCACACATTTTCGACATTATTTTCCTATGCATTTTTTTATAGAGGTGGTTGGACAAAAGGACGTTTATAAGCATCCCTCTGTGGCGAAGTAACGTTTATAAATGTTCCTTTGCAACAGTAACATGATGGAGACGAAGCGACCTTTATTATTCTGTCATCTGTTTAAACACTACATAAGGTTCACTATGAGCCATAAAAGGAATGGTTTTCTGTATTGGCATATGTTCTTGTTTATTCCCCTGAAAAACAGCAACCGAAAAAAAGTAGAAATTAATTCAGGTTATTGCCATTTTCGATTTATTTTTAAAACACAGCTTTCATGGAATTTATCCATGCAACACAAACAAAATATTTAAATATGGGGAGGGGAGCGAATTTCGGATTTCAGTATGACCCAAAAAATCAGGGGATGTGTGTTGTCGCAAGCAGCGGACAGGAATCCTTAATACAGATGAAATGAAAATAATTTTGAGATGTTCCCTGATTTTACTTCTCTCAGTGTCCGTCTATGGCTCCGTGGTAGGTCTGCCTCAAAATGAGAAATGTATATTTGAATGATTTTCCCTCATATTCAAGGTCATAGAGATCAACTAGGTTATAACATTTAAACGAACTCTTCTGAATAACCCGAAGGTCCAGGCTGATGCTATTTGGCCAGAAGCGGGCAAGAATGAAGGGCTAATAGGTTTGTTCAAATTAATGACATTTTCCCATATTCAAAGTGACAGGGCCAATTCTCTTAAATCAAATTTAAACAACACTTTTGAATAATCAAAAGGTCTAGGGTGATTGTATTTGACTATAAACATACTGGAATGAAGGACTACCAAGTTAGTTCAAATTTCGCCCATATTCCACATCATTGGGGTTCATTGTCTTTACAAACATTTAAAAGACTACTACTGTATAACCAAAAGTTCTAGGGGGATGATATGTAGTCAGAAGCATGCTAAGATGTAGGGCTACCAAGTTGCTTCAAAGGAATGACCTTCAACAATTATTAAGGTTACAAGGGTCAAATAAGATGAAATCATAAAACATTTTCTGGATAACCCAAAGGTCCAGGGTGATTGTTTGTTCATGTGAATTATTTAGACACTCTTTCAAGGCCATATCTGCTCAATTGTGTATAACTCGTTAAAAGTCATCTTCTTCAACAGAAGTTATAGGGTGGTGATCTTTGAAAAGTTGAATTCTTTGGTGAAGGGCAATTAAGTTCAACTTAAAGTCCATGTTTGACTTTCAAGGTCACAGGGGTCAAATTTTTAAATATTTTGAAACGTTCTTTTGAATGACTTGAAATTAAGACACTGATATTTTGCCTGTAGCTTTATTTAAATCAATGTTTAAGGTTAAAGTTGTGAGATTGATACCAGGCGGGCCTCTTGTAGTAAACGGGTAGAAATGTTGCTTAACGTCCTCAAACCTGTATACAAACAAATTGGTTCACATCTTCATACATCAACATCTCAAGATGTGCACGCCAAGGGTGTATGTATGCTCTGATGTTGTATATCATTCCAGCTGTATCTAATGCCCGCGTCGTGAAAGCTAAGAGATAGAAAACGAACTTTAAAGCGAAATGAAAATAAACGTAATAATGTTTGAACTTTTAATACAAAAACGACGAAACAACAAAAAGGTACATTGTGTAAAAACACTGCAACTCACCGTATATTTACCTGTTTCAGTGGCTGAGCTATTCTCGGACTTGTCATTAATCACTGATCTACCGAAGAGGATCGGTAGATTTTGGGATAGCTTGTTGATACATCTAGGTTTGACTAGTGTTAACATAGACCATATCAATCACAACCATCGACAGTTAGAGGATAAGATTAAAGATGGCCTGGTTAGATGGAACAGACAAAAAATGCACATACCTTGCTCGAAAAGGGCAGCAGAATTTATTGAAGCCTTACGAGCAGAGAATATGGTTTATCTGGCGGAGGAACTGGAGGATGAATATAACTTCGATGGTAAGTAGGTCACTCCTGGTAAATCATCTGTAGGGTTATTACTATATTGGAGGTCAGGTAGGTCAAATCGCATATAGCTCTTTGAGAATACAGATGAAGTAGGTTGCACGTATTGCTGATACATGTAGCGGATGGGTGTAGTTCGCGAATCCTACTGCTGAATCTTGGGAATAAGTTCTGGCGGGGCAGATAGGACACTCCTGAGACAATGTATTGGTGATGACCTGGACATTAAAGGTTTGACATATTATGTTCTTGAAAAGGTAAATCATAGTACTATGGTAACCTCATCTTGATATATTTTAGAGGTATTTATAATTAGATGATGCTGTTGGATTGTTTATTTAAAGTAACCCATTTGTTGTTTATTTATACACTTTCATGTGATGTTTATTTATATACATCCATGTGCTGTTTATTGATATAGATCACTGTATTGTTTAGGGGTAAGGGTTATATACATCCACGTGCTGATTACTTATGTACGGTCATGTGTGTTGTTTAGTTATACACTGTACGTCCACGTGATGGTTATTAAATTGTATCACTGTATTGTTTAGAGGTAAGCGTTATATGCATCCATGTGCTGATTACTTATGTACGGTCATGTGTGTTGTTAATTTATATGTCAATGGGTTGTTTATTTATATTCGTTTATTTTTGTTTATTTATAAACGTTCACCTGTTATTCATTTATACACCGTACGTCAACGTGATGTTTATGTATATATAAATGTGTTGTTTTAAGTACGTCCCTGTTTTGTTTATTTAGATAGATCCATTGTTACATTTTGCGTAAGGAAGACCAGCCTTATTGTCAAGCATACGATCAACCATTTACAGTCAAACACTTTATGATTGAATGCGCTGATTTCAAACAAATACGTGACAGATTTTATGATGTACCATCTATGAGCAGATTATTCGATACAGTTTCTGTGCAATTAATATTTGACTATTTACACTCTATTGAACTTTACACAATACATCTCCAGCACACACTCAGGCATAGGACTAGTAGTTATCGCATGATAAGGCAACTCCTGCGAATTCCTCAAAAAATGTATTGATTAATATATATGCTAATTGTATTGACTGTACAAAATAAATTGTATATCTATGTACTGTAAAGCGCTTTAGAGTGGCTTATGTTAGCTAGATCGAGCGCTATATCAAATGTTGTATATTTATTTACAATAAGATATGATATATTGTGCAGCCAATTTGTTCGATTTTATGTATTTGTTTAATCCTTTACTTATGTTAACCTATTAAGTTTTGGTTTGATGTGTTTATTTTCGTGAATGTTGTTTTTAACAGTATTGTCGGCCCTAAATGACTTACATTGTCGAAGGGCCGTTACATAATACAAACACAAAACAAAACATGTTTTGTTTATTTATATAGATCCATGTTTTGTTTATGGGATAGGGTAAGAGTTATATACGTCCACGTGCTGTTTATTTACATACTGATAACGATTGCGTTCAAAATTGCTTACCTCAGGTGACCGTCAAAGCCGCTAGGCCTCTTGTAGCACTAGGATACATAAGACAACAATTTAGATATGTTTTGAAAAAGAACTAAACCAATCAAATAGGTATGTGATATCTAACGGACATTATTATGACAATATCAATGATTACATAATGTGTGTAATATTATGTGTTGCATACAAAGACCCCAAGCTTGTTGAGAGCACAACTGACGTTATGGAGGTCTCACGTGATACGTCGGCCGACATAAGTATAGTGTACACACGTGAAGCGTCAGGCGATATCATCATGAACAGCCTGGATCGTCCGAAATATGACCGTTCTGGTAAGTGAATATTCTCCGTTATTTCAATGTGATCCTCATTCGGTACACAAAGTTGTGTACTATAAAGTGTTTTTTTATATAAAGTTGTAAATAAAAATGAGAAAGCTTGAAACGGGTAAAATAAATTCATCATGTTTGTTTGTTCATTTTGATATTTATTTTCAACTGATGGGTGAGTGTATTGAGGGGAGTCTAAATTATCGAAGTTATCTTCTCGGTCTTCCCCTTTGTTGACACTGAAGAAACCAACATGATCAGCCGTTTTCATATTAACACAGCTGCTACGGGAACATTAAACCTCAAAACACAACCGTAGCCAATTCATAACAAACTTTGAAAACGTGTTTGATGATCTCTAATTATTGAATATATTTCTGAGCAGAACGATATTATAGTAGGTGTGACCTTGTTCAGTAATTCTGGATCTATAGGTCTATAATTTATCCTTCCAATAGCTAACTTTGTTTTCTACCAAATACTAGACCTGACAGAAAATGGACCTGACATCAACGGAGACTTCTCCCTTCGTGATTATCAAATGGAAATAGCACAGGATGGTCTAAAAGGAGATAATTCAATCATCTGGGCAGGGACAGGATCAGGGAAGACCAGGGATGCCATGTACATTATGAAGAATCACATTGACAACAACCCAACTGGTATGACTCTTTTATCAGCCCCATAAATGCAGGATCTATCCTGAGAGTTATGACTTATTCTTGAATTATTATTTTAGTCGTCAATATGAAATTACTTCTTTCTATTGTGTATTGGACATTTTTCGCTGTAATTGTTACTTCGTCTATTTCGAAAATACGTAAATTGTAGAGTAAGCATATCAGTCAAACATGAGGGGCGAATTTATCATTGCAAAAAATAGATTTTTCCAGCGTAAGGCAAAAGTTTGATGTCTCAAATTTAGAAAACACCAAGAGACTAATATATTGCGAACTAAAATGCAAAAAAACGGGAGCAAAATAATGAATAAGAAAAATGGTTATCATTCGTAAAATACGTTGGAAAAAGACAAGATGATTCAGAAGAAAACGAGTTGTCTGATTCTAGGACGACATATGCCGTGTAAATTAAGGTAAACACTGGATGCAGAAAAGTCCGCAGTGGCCATGACTTAAAGTGTATCGTGATGTATATACGATCAGACTGGTGAATGTATTCTTTATTAGACAGCACATTGTCAGGATATCTGAAAGAGTATTAGAAGGACATTCCAAGGCTGCTATCGTCCAGTACACTGTTCAATATATTCAGCCTCTAATAAGCAGCCAAGTAGCCTAGTTGAAGGACATAACTTGTTCATGTGGGAAAGTGTACAGACTGATCAATATTTGGCCATCAAACCAAACGAAGATGTTGTCAACAAAATAATTTCAACTGTTGTCAAGCTGTTAACAAAAAACCTTAAATATAACAATAAGACACAACTTTAAATTCATAGATGCTTTGTTTTTCTACTCATATCTAGGTAGTAGATCATTGAGCGAGGTGGAGGGTAAATCTGTTCACATATCTAGGAAGTAGATAATTGAGCGAGGTGGAGGGTAAAATCTGCTCACATATCTAGGAAGTAGATAATTGAGCGAGGTGGAGGGTACATTTACAGTTAATTCTTACCCAAATATAAGTTACATTTACAGTAAATTCCTACCCAAAAATAAGGAACATGTAGAGTAAATTCTTACTCAAGTATAAGGTACATGTACAGTTAGTTCTTACCCAAGTATAAGTTACATTTACAGTCAAATCTGACCCAAGTATCAGTTATATTTACAGTAAATTCTTACCCAAGTATAAGTTACATTTACAGTAAATTCTTACCCACGTATAACTTACATTTACAGTAAATTCTTACCCAAGTATAAGTTACATTTACAGTAAATTCTTACCCACGTATAACTTACATTTACAGTAAATTCTTACCCAAGTATAAGTTACATTTACAGTATATTCTTGCCAAAGTATAAGTTACATTTACAGTAAATTCCTACCCGAGTTTTATGGTACATATACAGTAAATTCCTACCCAAGTATAAGTTACATTTACAGGTAATTCTTAATCAAGTATACAGTTAGAATTACGCCCAAGTATCCACCTAGGTTCAGTTCGTTCTGCGTGCGGCTTGCGTGCGGTTAGCGGTAGTCTAGCGTCTAGAAAGCGATCGTTCACCGTTCGAGCACCGTTCGTATGTTTCGTCTGTTTCGTTCGTATCAGCTAAATCGTTCCGTTCGGTTATTTCGACCGTCCCTATCGTCCAATTATTTCATTGGGTCGTTCCGTCCGGCTGTTCCGTCCGGCTGTTTAGTTCGATCGTCTAACTTACTCCGTCTTTTTGGGTTAG